CGGCTGTAATGCAGGCTAGGATCTAAGGCTTGAGGCCAGCCTTTACAATGATCTGCGATATCTTGTGCCATCTTTCCGGAAACCTTTCGCTGTGAATAGACCGTATCAAGAATTATCCCAATTGTGTGGCAGCTATTTACAGCTGCTTCCAGCCCCCGCCCATCCGTAGTATTTCCTCTATATGTGAGTATATCGCCAGAGCAATCACTATCTCGTATTGCTGTAGGGCGTCCTAATGAAGCTGATAGGAATCGATCCAAGACATATAGGCTTCGCCACAAGTTGCGTCGGACTAGCTGCTCTGCATCAGGGAACAGGGCCATTGTTTCCGCTCTGTGGAGGCCCAGCGCAAAGGCAGATCGCAATGCCATACCTACAACTCTATTAACATTTATGCACATCCTGAAATGGAGAAAGGCTTACCAGCATACGCATATGCGGCGTTTCGTCTCGATACTGCTAGCATATATACAGACATTAGCATCAAAGCCTGTATACTCCAAAATCCTGCATCTTCAAATCCGGAAGGATCACTGAGATGCTTGGCATCTAAGTAGAACAACTCAGCTCGATCGACCGGGTAGGACTTTCCGTCCTTTCCTATAGATACTTCGCCTAGTAGCTTCTGTATGATGCTTTCTTCGGGCGTTCCTGGTTTTGGAGCTGCCATGACAAGCCCTATAGCAAATGTAAGATATAAAAGACAGAGCCAAGATGGGTCCACGCTTAATGGATCCCTGTAGCACTTTTCAACATTAACAGTAAAAAGGTCCCGAGGGAATACCTCCATAAGTCCATTAGTCTAGTGGGTGTCAGCAACAGTATGATTCCAGTGCCATTATAATAAGCTAACATTTGTGAAGAACGAGTCCACCAAAACCATGGCAGTCTTCTTATCGGGAAGAAGATGGGTACGGCGTATATTTGGGGGAAGAGTAATGGTATGCTCGATGATTTTGAGTCTTCTGGGATCCATAATAAAAGGATTTTGAGCACCTGCAACACTCTCTACGTAGGTTCGAATAAGTTGCAAGAATGACAGCGCAGCTGAGTCTCCGATATACACTAAAATCAAATGAAACGAGTCAATGAATGAGACATTATGACAGGAACATTTCTTTAGTACTTACACACTCGTCCTGTAGGATCCTCCAGTAGTCGAGGATTGCTTTCCACAACTGCCTCCTCGTCTTTGCCACCAAAACTCGTCCCTCGTACCTCCAAATGATCCTCTGGCTCCGGGAACACCACAGCTTGCTCCCTAGCCTCCTGGCCTCTTTGCAGCCCAATTCCTGGGACACTGACGCCATGGAGTCTCCTTGGATCATGTATTGGGATAGTTCGTTTCGGTGTCATCCGAGGCCCAGGTGTAGCCGTGGACGATGCGAACGCGCCACTAAAGTGATTAAGCACTCGGCGCTTTGGAGAACGCTGTTCCTCCGAATCCGTCCCAGATGGGCCGTAAGTACAGGACGCATTTCTCTTGGAACATCCGTTGCATGGCTGCGATCCATTGCACTTTATCTGCCAGTTAGCAAACACTCTAAAGCACCGAGTTAACGGTTGGAGCCTGTATGTGTATAGACTAGCTAACATATGGGCCCGCCGAGCTTATTGATTAAAGCAACATTAACGAGACAGCTAGAGAGAAAATAGAACAAAAGATTGCCAATTCCATTGCTCTTTGATAGCTCAGAGTCGTTACGCAGGAAATAATATCTTCTTGGAGTTGCTTAGGGGTTTAAGGGCCGAACAAATACCAATAATGTTAAGGGTAGTACAAATCTTAATCATAGACTTGACTAGATGAGAAACCACATGGCATATGATGATACCACTACCTAGTCGGTCATTACTCAAAAGCCATGTGCTGCAAGATATAAAGGATATAAAAGGCAACTTGGAGGTGGCATGGTCATGTGTTGGACAAGCCGAGAAAAGGAGACGCAGAGAGTAAGGGTCACCAAACACTAAAAAGTATTTCTCGTACCTTTTGCTTCCTCCGCTTGCAAGAATCACAGGCCTGTGCGATCCGTTGGCGCTTGTCGGGATCGACTTTCGGTCGGGTCATGACACTGCTTTCACCATACCGGACAGCATAGAAGCCTCGCTGTGTCCGATAGGGCGTCGGATATGTACCCACCAAGGATGGGACTTATCGGATAATGGATCGGAAAAGAGCTCAGAAAAGTTTGGTAGGCTGGGTGATGCCAATAGTATGCTGCAAAAGGCACTTTTTCTTGCATCCGCAAAGGAGAGGGACATGGGTGGAAGTTTGTGATGACCAAAGGAAACCAAATGGGAGGCAATTAAGGGTTATATCATGGGGGACGTATAGTACCAGCGTTTAGGAGCCAAGAGCGCACTGACCGAACTGGGGGCACTCGCGACCATCTCCACTCTCGACATATGCTTTTCCGCCTTACACGCTCTGTGCCGCCCAACGAGAACATTTCGTCTGATCATCTCCGAACCGGACCGTAGCTTATTATTTATAAATTGATCCTTCCTAAGCCCTATGCTATCGTCTTAGCCTCGGCCAAGCCGGCGGCGGGACAGTGTCTGAGACGGCGAGACTACTGGGTCGTGGCGGAGGAGAGAATAGGACGGGCCTCTCCTATATATATTCATTGCCCAACACCTCGGGCATAGAATTCCGTAAGGACGCTTCCTGTGGCATGATTGGAGCTTCACATCTCTCGCCATGGGTAATACTAGTAGAGACACCAGCATTCGCGAACGACAGGATTCCGCACTTTTCGCAAAACTTGACTGTTCGGACACCTCTTATTCCGTCGTCAGGGGAGTTAGGCAAGCCATCGGCGCTCTCTCAGAGGCTGCTGGCCACCAAATCCCAGCAGAAATCAACAGACATATCAAGGATGTCTCGTTGACCAATGCCACAGATGGCAGTCGGGTCTCTTTCCCATGCCCCCTGAAAGAAGCAGAGGCCATAGTGGCGCTGAAGGCCGTAGAAGCCAGTGCTGTAGCAGCAATTGCCGATATCCGCTTTGGGGCAAAGGAAAGGAAGATTGAAGTCAACCTTGAGAGGGCCGAGTGCTTTTTATTCTCAGCATACCTTGCAACCATTGGGGGTCTATGGAAGCAAGATCCAGAAGTGAAGTCGAAATTGAAAGGTAGGACGTTGAATCTACTTTCCATATCTGTGCCTCCGCTGATACTCTCAGACACGGATCTATTTCAAGCACAGTCGATTCTCTATCGACGACTTGCAGCGAACCTGTATGCTACCAAGATACCTGGCCAGTACTTCCACATACATGGCTCCTTAGAAGCAAGCACCACCCTAAACATGATTGGCCTAGAGGCTTTCCGGCCAGATCTTACAGATTATCAAGAGTGTATTAAGACAATCGAGAGCCATGTTGAGAAGTATTCTACCACTGAACTAGAAGAGATGAACGCAAGGAAGCACCAAGCAGGGGTTTCTGTATTGAAATGGGAGGAGTTCCAACAAACAAGCCACGTTAGTTGAGCCCATCGGGAATTAACAACCCTGCGGAGCTGAAAACCCTATAGGGCGAGACGCTGCTTTCTCTTCCGCCTTGGCAAGTGGACAAGCTTGAAGACTCGTCCCCCCCTGCGCCTTTCTCGACTCGGTCTTCTGCGTCCGGGCTACCACAGATTCTTTCCGGCATTCGGGTTCTCGAGCTCTGCCGCATAGTCGCTGGCCCTGCCATGGGCCGCACCCTTGCCGAGTATGGTGCGCAAGTGATGAAAATCACCTCTCCAAATCTCTCTGATGTCCCTTTCTTTCAAGTCGACGGTAATACTGGAAAGCACACCTGCGATCTTGACCTCAAAACCCCTTCGGGCCAGAAGACCTTCGAAGAACTGATCCAAACTGCCGACGTCATCCTCGACGGCTATCGACCCGGGAGCCTCGAACGACTGGGCTATGGGCCGCAGCAGATCGTTGAGATGGTGAAGGGTAGAGGGAGAGGCATCGTCTATGTATCGGAAGATTGTTTCGGGTTCCAGGGCGAGTGGGCAGCCCGTCGTGGATGGCAGCAGATCGCCGACTGCGTGACAGGCGTGGCCTGGGCACAAGGCCAGTTCATGGGCTTAGATGAGCCTGTGGTTCCACCGTTCCCAATGAGCGATTATGGAACTGGATGTATGGGAGCTATCGCAGCGCTAACGGGGCTCTACAGGCGTGCCACGGAGGGTGGGAGCTGGGTCGGCCGGACGAGTCTGTGCCAGTACGATGTCTTCCTGTTGCAGCTAGGGCTGTATGATAAAGATATCCAGGAGAGGATAAGACAGGAGCATGATGAGGCGTTCTTCCAACTTCGTCATTCGGATAGCGTGGACGAGGTTGGGAAGAGGGCTTTGAATAGCATGAAGAGGGTACACCCTGAACTCTTCAAAGAAGAGTTTATGCAAAAAGCATGGAGTAGGGCATATAAGGAAGATATAACATGGTGCAGGAGTCCTGTAAGTGTGGAAGGCGTGCGGGTAGGTTTCGAGAGAGCAAGCCGGCCTAATGGATTCGATCAACCTACCTGGGAGAATTGGGAGGTCGAGCTAGAAGTTGTTGATGGGTGAGGTACTGCTCGATCGGAGGCGGTGGCAGTCCAGCTGTATGTAGCGTGATGTGCTGTAGGTGGGTATCTTAAGAATACTCTCGACTTTGCGCTCAAGGATCTTTGCTCTAGGAGCTGAGTACAGACTGTTCTTGCACTCTATAAGTCACAATATCTACTTTCAGGGTTTCCCAAGTCACAATTTTGACATTAAATTATCTGACTAACAGAAATTGCATTTGAGATATCCTTGGCCTGCCTCTATTGTATACTGAGTGCACTTGGCAAATACAAAGTTGTATACACACACTAGCACGGGATATAATGAAAAGTTTCCGGCTTGTTGTGGATCTCGCTTGGACGCGGTATGACTTCATTATCCTGCATCAGAGGGTTTCTCTTAAAGTAGCGAAATAAGGAGAGGAGCCTCAACAAAACACAACCCACAAACCCTCCGGTGTGGTGTAGCGGTAACATAACACGCTCTCAAGAGTCTCCTCTATAGATCCGTGTAGCTCGGGGTTCGACTCCCCGCATCGGAATTGTCTTTTTTGTTTTGCTCGTCTCCTTTTTTCTACCTTTACTCAACGCAGGTTGAACTTTCTGTGTCGCATGGGAAGTTATTTAACGTGGGGGGCCTCGCTTCTTGGAAACCCTTTCCACTCATTGCCTCTACTGAGGAAAGCGAGAGTAAAAGGGGTTTGTAGCTGGGTTATGGCATTGTTCCAATGCAGACACATGTGATTAAACCCCCTCGCTTCTCATATCACTTGCTTTGATCATACCTAGGCTGGTGCTTTGCTGAAGGTGGTACGAAACAGACAGGATATAACTACGGGACTCTGGCTCTCACATACATTACTGAACAAAACCACAGAAGAGCTTCTTACTAGGCGTGTTGCGAAAGTGAGTTAATTCACTTAAACTTATAAATACTAGATTCTATATCCTAATGCCTAGGGGAAAAGGTACTACATACTCTGAATGCAGTGGTGCATGTGAGTTAGATATTTGATGCTGGAGTCGCCGCTGATTTGTAGTTTGCCAATGTATAACTTTCCTTAGAAGAGTAAGTTTTATACAAAATCTTGGTTTATACGCTTCATTTCCTGGTTTTCTGTGTGGAAAATTAATGGGTTCCCGGGGTTGACAATGTCCCCGAGGATACCTTCCAGAATGCTTAAGGAAACCGTAGTAAGAGGCGTAGGGACGAGGTTGTTGGCTTGTGAGACTTTGACTGAGATGACTGAAGTAATCGGCATCTTCTCAACCCTAGGTCTTATGTCTCCTGTCTCTCCAGCCTCCTGAATACCGCGCAAAAAGGGGTGCTGGAATGGATCTACTAGAGACTCCGCGGCTAAGTGGTGCCAGAGTGGAACTATTGACTGTGAAACTTCATAGTCTAGCCCAGTCGCCCTTGCGTATTGTCCGATCCATAACTCTGAAGAGGTTGTAATACCTTCAACAGCCATCCTTCGCGATATTGTTGTGGATTGTATGTATTCACGCAGAGTTACGCGCTCTGGACGCCGCCTGCCAATGGCTCTCGACACGCGCGTGCCCCTGAATCCAACTCCAGCCAGTCGGGTGGCGTCCTTTCGCGTCTCGACTCCCATTCTCCTTCATAACAAAGCCGGCCAGGCACGCTGCGGGCGAAACGTTTACTGCCGATTCGGGCAATTGTTGTGATCCTGCTGGCCACGCATTGATCGTGGCCCTGATGGGGACCTGTCGCGATGCCTCCCTCTGTTGTCAGGAGCTGGGCTGGATGGATGTATGTAGCTAGGTAGAACGCGACCTGACCCGGTCTGCATTTGGGCCGTTGAAGCTGTAGCGGGCGACTACCATCCCCCACCGTGTGCGACCTCATTGCCCATCTTCATCTCCTCCCCTTCATCTGAGATATCTTCTTCGCTCTCCAACTCTCAAAGCGAGCTGCTCACCGATCAGTCAGTGGGAGGAGTCTCAATCTGATCCGTACGGGCTGCCGGTTACTAATCGCTTAAGCTGGGACTAGCCGCTTGCGGCTCCAAATCTCCTTACGATACTTGGATCATCGATCGTCGTCCTTGGGATAAACAACTTCCAACGACACCTCCGTCCCGCCACCCCCAGCCGCATGACAGGCTGTTGCTTGATGCGGGGGACTTGCTTGTATAATATTTCTGACGCCGCAATCTTCCGCCGGGCTCAAAAACCGCCTCCACCATTATCTCGAGGGTTATCACAGGTGGCCGGGCAACTAATTCACATCGACGTCAATCCCTATATCAGTACCAGCACATCACCAACTACACTCACTACACACACGCAACTTCCCCCAGGGTCGAGATTGATAAGCTGGATCGACCCGACACCTTTACAACTGACGGAGGAGTGCTGAGCCCGAACTGCGTTGGGCAGTACCTTGGCGCTTCCCGCCAAACCCAACCTCTTCGCGCGCTCAGTCTCCCGCTATGGGAATCATCGACGAGATGTTCAGCTCGAAGAGCACTCACATCGCCATTTCGAGCCCAACAGCTTCTCCAGCCCAACCGATTACGACCCCTCCTCGCTCTGGAAGCCCCCTCCCAGCCGTCGAGAAGAGAAAGTCTGATAGGACGTCTAACGAGGAGAATTTGGCGCGGAGAGGCAGCGATGTGGCTCGGAAGAGCAGTCTAGTAGGGAACGGGGTCGATGCAGAGCAGCTGCAGAAAGTATTAAAAGAATTCGATGATGCTGGTAAAACAAAAGACACAACTCCAGGAGGAAGCCCAGCAAGAAAGCGCCAGAGAGTCTATGGTGATAGGTACGAGCAGATCCAAGATCCTCTACTTTGAACACCGAGAGGGTGCCATAATTGCAAGTTCATGACTAATCATAGCAGATTCATTCCAAATCGAGAGGGTCAAGATCTTCAAGCCAGCTTCAGCTTGCTCCACGATGAAGGCTCCCCAGCAACCCCTTCGAAGCAGAAGAAGCGCACACCTCACGGCGAGCTTCATTTCCAGAGAAGTTAGTTGGATGCGTATCTCCCACGTATTCTGGCAGTTCACTGACTCTACATCTAGCCGAAGAAGCGAATCGCACCTTTTCTACCCTTCTCCGATCTGAAATATTCGACACCACCATCCCGCAACAGACCCCTCCCAATGTCTCGCCAGATTCAACCTTGCTTCCCTCGTCACATACCACCACGCATCAAGACTCCACACGCATTCACACCCCACCTCATAATTCTTCCGCCACGTCTCTCCCCTCATCACTGACACCATCCACTCCCCACAAGAATCTCTTCTCGTACATGTCACCTCGCCACCATAAGAATCTTGCCGGTCACCCCACTCCCTTAAGAACCCCTCAAAGCAGACATGGACCGAATCTCAATGCTCGATCTGAGATCTATAGCTTGTCTCCTGTGCGTTTTGGGAGCCAACAGCTACTGCTGAGTCCGCGAAAGCAACCAAGAGCAGTCAGTAAGGTGCCCTACAAAGTCCTCGATGCGCCAGATTTGGCAGATGATTTCTATCTTAATCTAGTGGACTGGGGCAGCAGTAATGTACTCGGGGTTGGACTTGGAAGTTCCGTTTATATGTGGAACTCCCAATCTGGTCGGGTCAATAAGCTGTGCGAGCTTCAGGATGATACGGTAACTAGTGTCTCCTGGATCCAGCGTGGTTCACATATCGCCATTGGCACAGGCAAGGGCCTCGTCCAGATCTGGGATGCGGAGAGGATTCGAAGACTGCGTACCATGACCGGCCACACGGCTCGAGTCGGCGCCCTTGCTTGGAACGACCACATCCTCACGTCTGGCTCCCGTGACCGGCTTATATATCATCGGGACGTGCGTGCCCCAGACCAATGGCTTCGCAAGCTAGTTGGTCACAAGCAAGAAGTCTGCGGCCTGCGTTGGAATTGCGAGGATGGTCAGCTCGCCTCTGGTGGCAATGATAACAAGCTCATGGTCTGGGACAAGCTCTCCGAGACCCCACTGTGGAAGTTCAGCGACCATACGGCTGCCGTGAAGGCCATTGCCTGGTCGCCTCACCAGCGTGGCCTGCTCGCATCCGGAGGAGGGACTGCAGACCGGAGGATCATCTTTCACGACACCCTGCGGGGCACCATGATCAATGAGATCGATACGGGTTCGCAGGTTTGCAACCTCGCGTGGTCGAAGAACTCAAACGAAATTGTTTCGACGCATGGCTACTCGCAGAACCAGATCGTGGTTTGGAAGTACCCCAGCATGCAGCAGGTCGTCAGTCTCACGGGCCACACCTACCGCGTGTTGTACCTCGCTATGAGCCCTGATGGCCGCGTTGTTGTCACCGGTGCCGGCGACGAGACGCTGCGATTCTGGAACGTCTTTGGACGAAAGCCAGGCCAACGCGAGGACGGCGAAACTGGAGGTAGACTCGGCGATTGGGGTGTCATCCGATAAGAGATGAGGCGAGGCCAGAGCGAGGAAGGGGTCTGTATTATGATGAGATTTTGTTCGAATGCACGAGATCTTGCTTGCCTTTTATTATGCTTTTTCTTCTTTGAACGGACAGCGAATCATACCACACGAGGATATCTTGCATGCATGCATAGGGCGTTCCGGGGGTTAGCAACGACTTTTTTAATTTGCTCCTGCTGCTGCTTCTCTCGACTGAACACATCGAAGCAGGGAGTTTGGAGGCGAAACGGAATATAGGAGAGAATATTCACATGGGAAGCAACTTACATACTTGCACGAAGTAATCATTTTGCAGAAATGATTCAATTTGCAAGTTGGGCTGATGTATATTCCTGGGAAGGAGAGACATGCACATGAAACTACTTAGCTAGCAAGCAAAACAGGGACAGGACAGGACGGTACAGAAGAGGACAAAACCCAACTCGGTTTTTTTACCGTGGTCTGATACTGCGGGGGGATTGTACTATACTTGGCTGGTCTGATTCTGCGTCCGACTGGCTGGTATGCTTGGAGAGGAATATAATCTCAACTAAAGTAAACTGCCAAAATCACTTTGCTCCTTCCACCCTGTATTGAGTTGTGAGATAAACTTGTTATAGAGCTTGTGAACACATGGACACAAAAGCACGTCACACATATTCTATCCGATGGAGATGTGAAAATCAGATATAACAGGGGTACCTGGGTCTTATCATAAAGCCAAAGCACGCGCCCATCAAAAACGCCAGTGGTATCATCCCATCCATTAATCCAGCCATCAATTCAATCCACTGCCCTCCTGCTCCCTATCTTATGCACACTACTATAAAATTCCCGCCTCCTCACACCGTACCTAGTCCCCACTCCTCAAGGTAGACCGATTAGACCGACAAGCCTGACCACCGGAACCGTGAAAACAGAAAACACAGCCACCACCATACAAAGACCAGATATAACAATCTAGTGTTTAAAGATCGAGGTAAAAATAAAGCATAGCGTGAGATAAAGAGCAAGCGCGCCAATCTGGTATAAGTGTATAGGTATAAAACGTCGAAGTATGAGAGGTATCGATGAGCAAGCCAAGCAGGCCAAAACGAAACTTGCAAATCCAAATCCAAAATT